ACAGCCTGGACAAGACCGGCACAGCCCAGAGGAATTATCCCCAGCAGGCTCAGGACACTCGGCTACTGAGCAGTCCTGCTGGGGTCCATCCATGGGAGACACATCCCAAAACCTTGCAGCGACTGCAAAGGGGTGCCCATGGTGGGGGAATGGGCAGAGGGGGAGGCCAAGGCTCCAGTGTGTCCTGGGAGGGCCTGGCTCTGTCCCTTTGGGCTGGGGGAGCTATCCCAGGGAAAAGAGGGATGGAGACAGAGAGGAAGGTAGGAAGGGAAGGAGAGAGGGCAGGAGTGAGGGAACTGCCTACTGCAGTTTTTCCCCATTGCTTTAGCAAGACTTTCAGCTGTAGCAGTGAGAGAGCCCCAATGGGCCTTGGGCTGCTCCAGCCACCTCTTCCAGGGATGTTGCACAGGGCTTGCAAAGAGGTTGGGGAGTGACCAGACACCAACCCAGAGTTCCTCTGGCCCCTGTGCAGCTTTGACCATTGTCCTTTGACATTTGGCACCCATGGTCTTACCCGACGCTCTTGCTGTGCCCAGTTCTCAAAAGTAGAAGGGGATCTCAGCACACCATGGCATGGTTCTGATCTGGGCTCCCTTCTAGATTGGAATCGCAACTTGCATTATCGGGATGTCCTGCTGGATGACGGCTTGAAACACTTGAGAAGTGCTGGAGGTAAGTTCTCAATGTGCCTTTCCGAGCAGAATAAGCAGTGTCAATGTCCTGGCACCACTGCAGGTGCCAGAACAGAGACATACACGTGTGTGCCCTTGCTCTTCGCTATCCCCTCACCACTCCTGTGGCTCAGTGCTGCCTGTGCAAATCAGCAGAGATGAGAGAAGCTTCTGTGGCTGTTTAGTTACAGGTGTGTCTACAGGGAGGACTTTCCCAGCTCCTGAGCTGGCTGGTGCACACCAGCCCGGCTCCCATCGCAGGGGTGAGTGGTGTGTCCCTCACAGGCTGAACACTGGTTTTCTGGGATCCTGCAAAGTGGAAATATTTTCCTCTAAGGTACTCCGAGAGGAAAGAACACAGCTACAGGACACCGGAAGCCCCATGAGCCATCCAAAATCAGTCAGCAAATGCCGAAGGAAATGCTGCAGGGAGGGCAAGGTGGGTCCATGTCCCTCAGCCTTCTCCTGAGTCTCAGCAGCCAGGGGCTTTCTCTGCACCTCTGGACACACAGTGCCAAACACAGCAGGAAGCGGATCCATGGCAGCCTCGCTGCCCTGCTGCTGCTTTCACGGCCTGCAGGGCTGTTTCCCAGCCTGGCCTGGCTGCAGCTTCTCCCCAGCCTCTGCAGGAAGGCATTTGGCATCAGCTGACAGGGAGCCCAAAGTGCACCATGGGCCATGCACGCAGTGAGATCCCCTGCAATTTCTTGGTCCCCGAGTAGATCAGAAAGGGCAGCTCTTTAGATGAGGGTAGGCACTGGCCAATGCCAAAAAATTTTCAGGGATTCCTGATCCCTGCCGTTGACAAGCATTGCCTCCTGAAGTTTCCCGAGTAGGGAACGGTTCCATCTGATCCAGCTGTTGCTTTCTGCAGAAGTGGACAGAGCGGCTGTGCTGAAGGCAGCATTTCCCAGAGGAAGCAGTGGCTCATGGGCAGCCTCTGCTGCAGGAAGGGAGGCCATGCCAGGCACAGTCCCAGGAGGTAATTGCTGTGCCTCTGGGCCTGAGCCCTGCTGAGGCTTGAACTGCTATCTCTGCTGCTTGGCAGCGCAGGCACAGCCTGGACAAGACCGGCACAGCCCAGAGGAATTATCCCCAGCAGGCTCAGGACACTCGGCTACTGAGCAGTCCTGCTGGGGTCCATCCATGGGAGACACATCCCAAAAC